GTTTGAACAACCCAGACTTCTTTCCCTGCTACAAAAGGCTAAGATTGTTCCTGACCAGTGATTCTGCTCATCTTGATTTTTGGAAGCCTAACTTGAGACAGCTGAAAGGATCCCTATTTCGGAGAGCAAGGTGCTCAGCCCATTCTGACAATCAGGCCCCCCTGTAAGGAGTCTCAAGCCAAAACATCCTTCAATGGGGAAGCAGATGGCTATGGAGATATTATATAGTCACCTGTAATCCTGGTGTATGAGAACTTCACTTGTCTCGTAGGATAGAGGTGTATTCTCTTTTATTTAAATAAGATTTTAAATGGATTTCAACGTACAGGACAGGAAATCCCCTGCAGAACACATGGAATTTCCAGCCTTTACGATTGCGTAGATTGCACCAATTTAAACAGTCTAAATTGACAGAAGATTATTGCTGCTCAGAGCACAGTCAATGAGGTCAACAAGAGTCTTTCAATTGAGATCACCTATGCACTTCACACAGACATTGGATCAGGCCCTATACGAGGCGTGTAGGTGACCAATTTGCACTTACGAGTAGATGAGGGTCCACATCACACATTTAGCATTGCACATGTTGCACTTCTTAGTGGTCTCAGCAAAGTTACTAGATGGATATTGGAGGGCAGTTCACTCTCTAACACCTAGGAATGGCTGCTCCAGGCCAGGTTTCAAGCACACTACACTGGTGGGTCAGTTTAAAAGCTTACATTACTACTGCTTCTGCCAGCATCTCACCCCAGCATCATTCAAAGAAGTACTAAATTAATTCTTTATGAGCTATTGCTTTACTCTTCATCCAACACATTGTGTGACTGTGTGATAGCCACTAAGTGCTACTCTGGGTAAAATCCTTTCAGCACTCCCATTTGCAGAAAGCTATTTTCAGTGGCTTATAACTCATCTGGAAAATTTTGCTCTGGGCTGAAACTTGGTACAAGTCACAAGGTTTTGCTGAGGAAGAGCCTTTGTTTTACGAGATGTGAAAAGAAGTCAATATGGTCATTTTTCTATTAGAGAAATAAAACAGACAGGAAATGTGCTGTATGGGAAAGCATAGGTAGGCGATAATGCTGTCTTGACAGAGGAGTGGATCAAATCTTTTCCATATCAGATTTCTAGGGTTGTACCAAACACGAAAAAAGTCGTTTTCAGGTGCTTTGGGGAGGCCAAAACAACACAAACTGAAATTCCAGGACCAAGTTCTGTCGACTTGTTACTTCAGTGGTAATTTGGCTCTGCCTACAGACAGGACCAGTATTCATGTATGGGAGGAGGAAGGGGGTAAGAGAAGAATAGCTAATTATTTGTTTAGTAAGATATTTTCAAAAGCACCTAAGGTATTTAGGAGCACACGTCCCATTGATAGTCAAAGGGGCTTGTGCTCCTAAACCCCTTAAGCACCTTTTAAAATCTCCTCCTACAAAAGCGGATTGTGGGAAGTATTCTCCCCTGCCTCCACCCAACAAATATTTCATAAGGAACCTTAGTGCATGAGCTTAACTTCTCTGCACATCCGCTAGGTTGACACAATGGACCCAAAGTAGTTGTAATGGTCTATTAGGTTTTATTGTCATGGTAAGTTCTTTAACATATTATGTATCATCATTATTATGGCTTATTGTTTCACAGAGGAGCTCCTATATACACATTTTCACACTTTAGACCATAAAGCCTCAGGACAATGATGCTCATTAAAAAAAAAATCTCTCTGAATACAGGCACTGTATGTCTAGTGACAATTTAAGGTATGAAATGTTCCATACTACAGTAGGGATCACTTCCACTAAAATATTTTTCCCTGGGGTGATTCCATTGCTGGAATGAGGCATTGTGGGTAAAAAAATATTAAAGAAAAAAACCCTCTCACACACACTAAGTAAATTGCAATTAAATAAATCAAAAGAGAGTTAAGGCTCAAAACTATTTCAGTGTTATGCCCATGGCAGGTGTCTCAGTGCCAGATAATCTCAGTCCCATTTCTACATTCATATATGTTCCAGAGAACCCTCCTCACTTAGAGAGCCCACCAATAAAGAATGGGGCGAGGCATGAGGATCTATTCTTGTGTATGAGGTTGCAGGATTGGGGGGCTCATATGTGCCAGATATAACAGGGAATCTATAACAATTAATCTTGATTTAGGATTTATATCCTTTGTCAATTTTTGCTAACAACCTTCATGCTTAATATTGTGGGTGGTTTCATTTAGTCTATACAATACTAATATATAGTCATAATTAAATAAAAAAATCCTGTAAGTTATTTATACAGGAAGACTCCATTTTCACAGAGTGCATCTCTTCACCTATACACATTTCTGAATTACGGTGCAGTAATAGCCCTCACAAATAAAACGAAGGACCAAATTCTCTGCAGACTTAACTCTATCAGCTAGTTTTATCTGCAGATAATTTAGTCCTATCTTTCAAGGTAACAATATCCATGAGATATTGCAAACAATTCTGTTCTTGTCACAGTTACACATTCGAGGGCCATGAAAAATAGGCAAAACACATAATCCATGTTTGATAACTCCTTGTATTCTTCACCTGGAGAGTATAAATCACTGTTAATTTGCCCTCAGCATATATGTAGTTTATGAATTTGCTGGCAAGATTGCTTATCAAAAATATATATATATATCTCACAGCACTAAGGCTGAAACTGTGCTGTGATCTACAATACAGCAAATCTGATCGGTGAGAACTCACAGGTGTCAACTCAACCCGAACAGCAAGTGAATCATCCATTTTAGATCCAAATCTACCTCAGGCACTATGTGACCCTGGTGTTATCTCACTGTTTATAACTGTAAATTATTGGCACAGTCATGAAACTCAGCTTCTAGGAATCCCTTAATAAGTAAATCCCCATTGCTTCAAGACTTCCCTCCTAATTTTTTGGTGTTGCATGCCTCACTGCAAGCATTTGTCACACATTTATGAAGGTCAGGATCACACCTTTAGTCTCTTGACAGGTTGAGAGCAATGGTAACGTGATACTGTGCAACAGAACGGGAGCAGTGAACGGCACTTTCTCTTTGCTGTCCCATTAGCTGTTACTGCGCATGTCTCTAGAGAAGTCAACTTTACACAAGAATTTTTCTTTTTGAGCTGAGCTAGTATAAAAGGAGATCTCGAAAACTAGTTCTTCTCAACAACTCTTGCCATTCAGTCTGTGCAGCAAGTCGGTCTTCTCCTTTATGCCCAATCCATATACTTTCATCACAATGCTGCCTCAGTGCACCCATCAGCACCAGCCCTGGTGGGGTGTCCATTTCTCTAGCTGTGTGTGGAGGGCAGGAATCCTTGAGGTTTTACCACAGGAGCAACCACTGAGGGATGGGATTCACAAGGAACCTGCCCCCTCTGTTTCCTTCCACCCGATGCTATATCCTCCCCACTCATAACTGGTGGCCCAATGCTGGGGAGGAGAATGGTATCCACCCGGTCTCTGAAGAAGTCCCTAGCACAGCCTATAGGGAGAAAAAGAAGTCCCAACGGCTAATCGGCTACCGTTCAGGGGGCAGCATAGACCTACCCCTCTCCCACACTATGTAGCAATGCTGAGATGAAGAGACAGAAATAGTATTGGATGTTTCAGGGGAGGAAGGGATGCTGCTTGTGTGTGTGTGATTTTGTACTGAAGGGGTGTGAATGTGTTTTGTGTTGCAGAAACAAAAATGCACGAGAGCTTTGGGGGAATCAGAGAAGAAGTGTGTATGAGAGAGGGGGTCTTGTTGGGAGGCTTGAATGCATGTAGATTTTGGGAGGAGTCAAGGATTGTGAGAGCTGTTTGCCGAGGAAAAAAGGTGAGCGGGTACCTGTGATGTTCTTCATTTAGGGGATGCAAGGGTGTGTATGCACAGGTCGCGTGATAGAGGGTGGAGAGGCAAGCTGGGTGAGGTAGAAGCTTTTATTGGACCAAATTCTGTCGGTGAAAGAGACAAGCTTTCAGCCTATTTCAGGTCACAAGGTGGAAGGGGAAGAGTCCATAAAGAGAGAGGGAATGAAGAAGACTGGCGAAAGCGGCAAAAGGCTGCGAAAGTAGTCATTACGAAGAGAGAGAGAACACAGGGAAAGAAAGAGGAAGGGGACAAAAGCAAAAAGAATACACTTTAAATCACCATATATAACAATATAGGGGAATACAGGGTGAATTAGATGGAATACAACATAACCAAGAGACACCGGAGAGGGGAAAGATAACAGTGAATGAAGTGAAATGGGAAGAACAGATAGATGCAAGGGAGACAAAGTAAGTTCAGAAAAGTTTTAGCAGTCAAGAGGCAATTTAGATGTCAAAGGGTTACAATAAACAATAGATCCGAAGGTGCACACACTAACGTAGATGGCATGCTAAAAGGAATAGGGACAATAATTCACCGCCGGCATGGAAACAAATCCGTACTGTCAACCTGCTCCCCCTCCGTTTTAAACGCCCCCCACCCCCCGACTCATCCTCCAACTTGTATAATGCGGGCCGGCACCTGTGTGGCTTCCGGCCCCACACACTCGCCCTACGCTCTGGAAACAAACCCAGTCGCGGGGGAGGCCACACCACACACCGGTGCTGGCCCCAAACCCCCGGCACCCGAGCGCGGGCTCCTCCTTTTCGGAGGAATCATCCTCTTCCCCCGCCCCAACATGAAATTCAACACTCGGCAAGGACGCGGGGGGCCCCCTCGCTCTGCCCCAGCCCACAACAGGTGTGAGCCAAGGTGAGGCTGCCCCCCGCCTCCCCCGTCTCCCGGCGGTGCGCGGCGCGGTCCATGTGCCGGGCCGGAGCCGGGCATCCAGCCGCGCTCGGCACGTTGCCTTGTCCCCCATCCCGCCGCCCGAGGGGGCAGCCCGGGGGGTGGGGGGGGGACGCGCCTGGAGGGTGGGTAGAGGGACACACACACACACACACACACACACCTTGTCCTGGAAAGGGAGAGGCGGGGGGGGGGGGGACGGAGAAGGCGGGGGGGGGCAGATCCGACTTACATCGTCCCACTTGACAAATTTGGTGCCTTTCTTCAGGAGGTCGGAGACGCAGACGGGTTTGAGCTGCAGCGCGTGGACGCCTGGCTGTGCCCCGGCCATGGGCAGCGCATGGAGGCTGCCCGCAGGAGGGCAGCCCCGGGGGGGGGGGAGGAGGAGGAGGAGGAGGAGGAGGAAGCACCGGGGAGTGGGCTGCCGCAGCCGGGCGAGGGAGTCACCGGCGCGCAGGGGCGGCGAGCAGGCAGCTGGCGCGGCCGCCGGCGGACAGAGCCATGCAGCGGCGGCACATCCTATATACACGCGCGCCCGGCGCGAGCGCGCTGCCCGCCCTCCTCCTCCTCCTCCTCCCTCCCCAGCTGACTCGGCCCCCAACTTTCCTCCGCGCTGGGTCACCCGCCTGCCCGCGGGGCGGCAGCGCCACCTACCGGCACAAGGAGGCCGCTGCAGCCGGGGGGGGGGGGGGGGGGAGGAGACAGAGTGGCGCGCGCGGAGCTGGCCGGTGGGGTGGGGGAGACTGGTTTTGCAACCCCCAGGCAAGGCGAAGTTAGGGGCAGGCCAGCTCTGGCTCTATATGGGGAGAGAGGGGTTAGCACAGCTGCAGCTTTTCCCCTCTCCCCCCGGCTCCAATCGCCCCCAGTATTTCATGGCCCTTTGCCAGCAGTCAGCTGGGGGGGCAGGGCCCACCTGCAGAACAGGTGACAAAGGCTTTCTCTGCTCAGCAGGAAGGGGGAAATCCTGGCCCCACGCGGGAGAACGCCCCTTGGCCTGCAAGCAGAGGCAAAATTCCACCCAGGAGTCTTATAGCTAGGGTGACACCCGTCCCTCCTGCCCAGGGACCGGTGACGAGTGTCCCCAGGAGCGCATGACATACAGGAGACAGCCCACATGCCAGCCAGCAATGATGGGGAAAATTCTAGTCTGGTACAAATGCCGGGGTTGGTTATTTGTTTTTTAAAGCCCAAATCTCACTGCCCCAGGTGGACCAGAGCCAAAGCCCAAGGGCTTCAGCCCTGGTTGGGGGGCCTGTAACCTGAGCCTTGCCATCCAGGGCTGAAGCCCTCAGTCTTCAGCCCCGGGTGGTAGGGCTTAGGCTTGGGCTTCAGCCCCGGGCCCCAGCAAGTCTAACACCAGCCGTGGTGAACCCCTTAAAACTGGGTCGTGACCCACTTTGGGGTCCTGACCCACAGTTTGTGAACCGCTGCTTTATATCATCAGTAAAACATATGGGGAAAAAATTATGTCCCTAACTTTCCTACACCTGTCCTTTATTTCCTTGAAACGTAGCCCACCCTACCTATAAAGAACACCATGCTTAGACACGGGCTGTATTTCCCGCTCTGCCATTGGCTGGCTGCGTTACTTTGGGCAAGTCATCGCACAGCCTTCTGCCTCAGTTTCCCCATTGTGCAATGGGAATAATGATACTGACTTGCTGTGTAGAGCACTTTGAAACCTATGGCTGAGAAGTGCTGTATAAGAGCTAGGGAGTATTATTGTAATAATTAAGCATTTCTCTTATTCCCTAACTTACTGTAACAGATGGTGTGAGAACACTGGGTTTGCAAGACCCAAGGGTAAAAGTTGTATCACACTTGCTATTTAGGTACAGTGTGACAGGTAGGGTTGTTAGTGGTTACAAATACCTCTTCAGAGAGAATAAAGTGCAGAGAAAGTTGAGGCTAAGTCTGGAAAATGTTATTGGGGTGCTGTTCAGACAAAGGGAAGAAATTCATTCGTCTGGAAATTGACAAATGAGGTGACGAAAGGGTAAAGACAACACCTAAAATCATCAACTCTTTTTGGGATCTAGTTATAATCTCATAGCACTGGTCTCTGGTGAGCCACAAAAGTGTATAAGAAAGGGGTTTTAGAAAGTTTTATGTTCTCTTCATAGAATCATAGAATATCAGGGTTGGAAGGGATCTCAGGAGGTCACCTAGTCCAACCCTCTGCTCAAAGCAGGACCAGTCCCCAACTAAATCATCCAATCCTAATCATCTCCAACTAATCATCCATACTGAGAGGTTTTCTTGGAATAAAGACCTCTGACCTTAATTCCATTTTAGGTATCCTTTTCTCAATTCATTTAAAGACAGAATGTGCACTAACATTCGAGTGACATCCTAAAACCAAGGTTTTCAAGAAAAAGGTTTTTGAAGAACAAAATCAAACATGCTCTAGCAGTGACCTTCTGCCTGTTGAAGAGTCACTGCAGAGATAAAGTGTCAGATGACGCAGCACATAAGAGTTCGGATTTCCCTGCAGAGGTTTCTGGTTGACCCTTAAGATTTAAAGGCAGCTGGTCAAACTTGTTCTAACTTGGCCAATGCAAATTATGCAGAAGGAACAGCCTTTGAGGAAATAAGTTTTGGGGTTGAGGATTGTTATTACAAATAATTCATTTGGTGTAGGTATATGTTTTTGAGATGTTTTAAAAATAAGTTACAAGAATGTTACAATTTACTCATTTGTCTGTTATTGTTAGTTCCTGGGTTATTAAAATGTATTGGGCTTGCTCCAACTTTCATTGCCTTCAATGGGATACTTTCCATTGCCTTCAATGAGAGTTGAATCTGGCCCTTTGTGATAGTCCATGCAGACAATAATCAGTGTTCCACTACCCATGAACCTGTTTGATCTATTTTTTCTTCTTATCAAGCTTGCATGCATGAACGAATGTCACATTAGTCAGGATGAAAGTCTGCCCACTCACTGCAGTGCTTTAATTTCTGTTGATTTGCCATGATTTAGGAGAGACAATGCCAAATTCGGTTTTCAAATGCACCAGCGTAAAGCCAGAACAGCTCCATTTATGCCAGGGTAGCTGAGACCAGAATCTGGGTGACAGTTGTCAGGATTGCCTTTTCACCCAAGCATATAGTGTGTGATTTATGAAGAGTTTGGGTTGGAAAAAACTGGTAGGTGAGAGTGGGAGTAGTAGAATGATCATCCATGATCACTTAAACTCTCACATTCCCAGCAAGCTACTAATTCACCTGTAGGGAAGACACCCTTGAAGGAGTTTCATGGTGTGTGGATCTCCGTGCAGGGTAATGAATACCCATCTTGGTTCTTCCATCTGCTTATTGGCTATACATGAGAGACTACTGTGTCCCTTTTTCTCAACAAGAGAGAAAGAACCGATTCACCTAAGCTAGCCTTTACTCTAAATCCAGCATCAGGACAGACGCTTCTGATTCACTGTGCTAAAAAACACTTGTTTCTGCACTATTCCATCCTCACACTCCATTTTGGGGATGCTTTATAAATCTTAAAGTCTAAGAGGTGCACATACAGCATATACCTGGCTACCCACCCACACATATTTCAACCACAAGCTTCTTCAGTTAAGTCACTTTTATATGAGATGTACCCGATAATAGAATTTGGCCTCACAGAAATATGCCTTTAATAGCACATATAATAAATTTTGGTAATGAATTTTGCACCCAAATAAGAGGAACAAAGGAAAATATAGCATGTTATTTCAATAACTAATTCTTAAAAAAGGTGAGTGAGGAGATGGCATTAAATAAGTATATGAACATTAGTAACATTAGCAAGTGTCTTTCTTCTTTGATACTGTGGACCCAGGATGAGATCCTGGATCCAGTGCAGTCAATGGGAGTTTTGCCATTGACTTCAGTGGGACCAGGATTTAATCCCCAATCATCAGGTTGTGTCGCTCCATTGACATTTACACCAGCTGAGGATCTGGCCCTAAATAGGCAATGCATGTTGCAAATAAAATAAAAATGCACAATTAAAGTCAAGCTTTTATAGCTACAAAGGCTAAAGTTAAGGTTCTGGGAGAAGGTTGGGGTCAGCAGGAAGGAGGGATGAGGCGGTCCTATCACTAGCGGGTTGGAGCAGTTCAGGGAAAATAAGAATCTGACATACCTCAGCCCCAAAGTCTATCGCATGTCTGCACTATAAACTGAAGTTGACCTACGTTAGTTTGATTTACAGCCACTGCAGTAATTCCTGCAGGGGTTCATGTCCACATCACCCTTCTTCTGTTGGTAGTGCGCATCCTCACCAGGAACACTTCCACCACCAACTTAAGCGGGGCAGTGTTTGGGGCTGAGAGCCAGGGCCATCTAAAATGAGATGTCCCAAGTTGCGGGAGCTCGCTTTTGAATGTCTCGATGTTTTGTGCATTCAAAATCTCACCCTTACTGCTGTATTAACATAGATAGTGAACAGATATATTAAATGCACACTATATGTTTATATTGTGTGTGCACGTGTACATATATGTAATTTACAGAGAGAGAATTCAATGTACAGTGTGTGTTAGATTCACATATGCGTATGTAAGTAGACAAATACAGATAGGGGAGTCAGAAATGATTTAAATAACAGATGGCATTGTTCTAAGTAAGATTAAATAAAGCTATAAGAAATATATTGGATGACTGTGCCATAAAGTGATAAGAAAAATATGTGAAAAATACAGTTCCTTTATCCTGATTTCAGAAAAAATAAATGCAAAATATCAACCAGAGATGTTATTCTGAGTGTATCAGAATTTTAAATGATTTATTCTGGTTAAACTCTCTGTCAAGAAACAAGTTATGGCCTTAGTCTCACACACACACACACACACATCAGTGGGTCTATTCACATGCTTAACTCTAACCATGCCCATAAGTGTTTGCAGATCAAAGGTGAAAGACAAATTCAGTGAAAGAAATAAAAATAAAAAAATGGCATTATCTTAATTATATTGTGAATTGGGGCAAAGTACGTTTTCCTTAATAATACATGTAGACTCACTGGCTTCAGTAGGACAACTTGCAAAATTTGGCCCTAATCTCCTAATAAAAACAAAGTAATTGCCAAGAAAATAGTCTAGTGATTTCATGAGTAGGATCCAAATCTTACCAGTGTTTACTGCAATGTGTAGTGAAACCCTCTCACAGATGACTGTCTTGTGAAAAATAAACCTAGTAAAGGTAAAAATCCCCATGAGATCTTTTTTCAGTCAATCCCCCAGAGTAAAAAAATTCACACCTGCTAAATGAATAATTGTATGCACCCAAGAACAGTACATGGTGGAATATATTTATGTTTAATTTGATCAACTCACTAGATGTCATGCGTAAATAAGATCTGATGGGTGAGGTCTGATATATCCTTTATCTTTATAGGAGTGAGCAGACAGAGTTATCAGGTGACTCAAGAGTGAATATAAAATTCTGGCACACAAAACAACACCATAGCAACAAAGACAGCCTGGCAACAGCGGCAGCTGCACAAAGGAAAAATTAGAAGGAGGGGAGGAAAGGGAAAAATAAAAGAGCAA